ATTAATAAATATTAAAATGTAACATCAACAAGTATAAGTGTAAGTCAAAACAAGCATATATCTCTAATCAAGAGGGTGTGAGTTTGATCCCCCACCCCATATAAATATGTAATTTTATCATAATGTTTGATTTTTTTTATGTATTATTCTTTTCCATCAGAATCTTCCTTTATTCTTAACAATCAAAATTTTCCATTAAATTAATTAACGAAATTATGATGTAATGTCGAAAATCGTATAGTGATACTATGTGTTTAAATTTAATGAATTAGACATGTACATAAAAAATACAAAATTTACCAATTTCACTTAATTTAATTACTAAAAACCTGGAAGTAAAAAAAAAAACTGAGCAAATGAACAACTTCAAGAAAGATACAACTTTTAAATGATCATGAAAAAAGTTTTAAAACATTAACTTAAAATATTTAAGTTTAAAATTATGATCCAAAGAACGGGAACAAACATAAAAATGAAGAGACCAAAAGTAGATGGATCAAACAAAAATAATAAAAAAAAAGATAATAAAATAGTATGGAAAGTAAATATTTATCGTTCAATATACAATTAGTAAGCATGAGATAGTTTAGAGGAAGAATAAAAAAATTAAAAATTAAAAACTAGAAAAAGTTATAGCCAATGATAACGTGCAATTTCCGTACTTTTTTTTTCAAATCCTTCCAAGATTCTATTTTACTTTATGAAAAGAACAAAAAATAAAAGTAGGTAATATCTTTAAGAGGAAAAAAAAGGAAAAAAGAAAAAGAAAAAAAAAACGATGCCACCAACCACTAAGAGTAACTATTATGAGAGTTGGTCGGTGGTAGGGCAATGTGCCCTTCCACATGGTTGAGGGGACACCTTAAGGATTGCCAATTTACATTTTACCCAAACCCCAAATTGTGTATGTTCACTTTAATTATGTGGTCCATAGTATGGTATTAAAGCTGCGTCTAGATGACGACATTTGTATCTACATTTTCTCTATTTATGTTGGATTTTGAACTGCCTTAGAGAATATGTGCGAAGCGGATATGATCGAGCTATTCAGAGCAAACTATGTGAGGAAGAACCTGCACAAAGAGATCAAATACTCCGACACTCATGTTAATATGAATCTGATCAAGGTCATGTTTAGTTAATTCCTGGGAATGAGATTCAATTTTTTTTATTCCTTTTGATGGTGTTTACTAAATTGTAGGAATGAGAATCAAAGTGGACCCACACAATTTTTTATTCTCATCCCCTAAAAAGAGACAATCTCATCCGAACTCATCCATTCCATTTCCATTCCTTATCCTGTGAGCCTCACACATTTATTGTAATTATTTTTCTATTTTAGCATTTCTCTCTTGTATTAATAAGACTCATAACTTTTTATTTAATTATTTTGTATTTTTTTATTTTATTTTTATTTATACTACTAATAATTGTTCTTCTAATAAAATTTATACCACTTTTATTAGTTGATGTGATTTTATTATAAAATTGTACTCGATTGTTAATTTTTTTAATATAATTTTGTTATTATGAATTAATATTAATAAATTTTTTTAAAATAGAAATTTTTATTATTAAATATTATAATAATAATATTTTATATTATGAAGGTTCTAATAAAAAAATATTTTAGTGGATGTAATTTATTTTAATTATTCATTATTTATTAATATTAAATAAATTGTTATGATAAAAAATATTTACTATGAATAATATAGTAATAAAATAAATTAACATTTAATTATTATTGTAATTAAGACAAATTAGCACAGCAACGTATTTGTAATAACTAGAAAGAAGGAGTATTGATAAATTTCAATTCACACAGTTTTAGAATAACTTGAAATAATTTTAGTTTTGACATCTAAAACATTAAACATGTTACAATTAAGCATTAATTTTTTTTTGTTAGTCTAAGGATAGTATTTTTCAGAAAAATCTTTGATTGGAACATGAAATATGACGTGCCATGTGATAAGCTAGAAAAGATCAGTATACTAGATCTTTCTCCATAATCTCAGAAATATGATGTGGCCGACCTTGAAGCTCAACCAACTATGACTTGTAATCTCGATCAAACACGGATTGGTTTAAGGAAATTCCACCTAACTGATTGGCCAATAATAATTATGTGGATTCCATCACTTGACACACTTTAAATAGAAGCAACACTCTAATCCCAGGTACGAAATCTAAACCTCAAACTTAAGACTTAAGATTTTTTGGATCGATATGTCAATCCTAAGGGGATGAATATGGTTTAATGGAATTTTATGAACTTTTTAATCCATGGTCCAAATTTAAACATATAAATAAATTTTTTACGAACAAATAATTTTAACACAAAATAATCAATAAATTATACAAATACACTTCAAGCACCCTAATTAGTTCCACTGTGAAGAGTGAAATTCTAGCAGTTAATTTCAGGCAAATTATGATAAAGAAAATTAATTGCAAAAATTAAATAGGAGAGGGTTAGAGAAATTTGGTATTTGAAATTTATAGTGGTTCAACAACACCAACTTACTCCACTCCCTAATGCCTCTTGGATATTTGATTCAAGAACTAACTATTTCCACGACTTAGAGTTCGACCAGTACAATATTCTTTTTCTGTGAGCAAGAATAAACCCGATTGTTTCCATGGTTCAGGACCAAACCTTACAACACTCTTTTTCGGGTTAAAGAGCAACCCTTACAAGTAATTGGAAAATGAAGGACAATCACACAAACATTCTAAAAACATTGGAGGTACAAATTTATGCTCACAAAATTTGTAAGATAAATTCTTAGTGTAAATTGACTAAGAAAATTAAAAATTAGATTTTCAATAATCTCTCGAAACAAAATTTCTCTCGAAAAAATTATAATAACGTTGAAACTTTGAAAGAGAAAAACAATCGAAGAAATTAAAGAGAAATTTTGGGAGAATATAAAATTTTGGAAGATAAAAGTTGTTTAAATAAAATAGAAAAAAAAAAGTTTGAAATCATAATCAATTTTTGGGTTATTGAATTAAAGTGAAATAAAATTAAAGATTGAGATTTACTTTAAAATAAAATAATAAAATTATATGTATATATAAATAGAAGTCCAATGGGTGTTATCTTTTTCCTTTTCCTTTTTTTTTCCTTCTTTTTAACAAATCAGTTGTCCGTTATGCAGAATTTGTTCTTTCATTCCAACGGTTTTTTTTTTAATATTTCTTTTTCCATTTCCTCTCCCTTTCTCTTCTCTTCTCTTCTCTTCTTTCTTTTTTTTTTCATTTTTTTTATTTCTCAAATGGGTTATGTGTGGTCATTTCATTGGCCCACGTGGTTGATTAAACTCCACATCATTTTTTTCTTTCATCTTATTTTGATGATAACTTTTTTCAGTTGTCTGATTTTAACAACTCAAAATATATTAGAATCACTGTGAATACTTTAAAATAATAAAATAATCAATAAATAAAATTAGGTTTGTTGTTATCAAAACATTAATTAATTAATTTGAGATTGAGGGTGAAAAAGCCAACAAGATCGACCTCTTATTGAATTGAGTGTCAATTGAGTGTCAGAGGGTTTGATTCATTTGTGCAAGTCTTCCTCACCAAGCTCGCTCGTACCTGAGCTTACCACTTCTATTTTCATATCATAATTCATCATAAACAAATATCATTCGTGTACCATTAATTTAATGTTACTTTTTGATCCTTAGATATATTTTAATGATTTGATCCCTATAATTGTAAAAATATAATAATTGAGTATGTAATGTAAAAGATTTTGCTATATTTGGAGTCATAAGAAGGAATAGATAATCAATCCACATCCCCTTTAATTTTAGAATTTTTCTTCTTTTTGTTTCTTTCTGATAATTGGGAGTCGGAGTTTTGTTTCCCTATACTCAAGGGCACGCGCGCTAGCCCTAAGATACCTTTAATTTTAGTTGATAGGAGGTTATTTACATCTCATTTACTTACCTAAATAAATCAAGTTTAAATTATTACTTATAAACCAAATAAACAAAATCCAAAAGTACATGAGCAAAAATAGTATTTAATTTTTTTAAAAAAATTAGGTAAATTAAAAATTTGGTTTCTAAACTTTTAAGGCATGTCTAATATGTCTATGGACTTTAAAAAGTGTCTCTAGCTACTAAACTTTCAATGTTTTGTGTAATGAGTCTTTAAACTTAAAAGTGTGTAATAAATCTCTAAATTTTTAATTTTTATATTTAATAGATTCTTCTTTTAAAATTTAAAGACCTATAATTAGATACAAAATTAAAAGTTCATAAATCATTACGAGAAAGATTAGGACAATTCAAAACTAAACTTATAATTTAACGGAAAAAATAAATAAACTAAATTATGTTAGAATACTATTTTCCTTCTACTCTTAGCTCTGGTTCATTTGGATCCATGTAACTTCAAAATGTACATTTTGGTTATTCTACTTCTTACTTTAGTTCATTTTGGTCACTATATTTTCTTTTTTATATTCAAGACCCTGTACTTTTAAAAAATATCATTTTGTCCCTTAATTTTATCTTAAATCTCATTTTTTCTATCATAATTTCAACACGACACTACACTCAATATATTTCTTAAAATGTAACAATAACATTATATTAAATGATTTTCGTTAGGTATAGATTGTGCATTAAAATTTTATAAATGGACACCAAAATGTTCCATTTTTAAACGTACAAAAGACTTATTTTAAAAATAAAAAAGCTAAAATAAATTAAAGTTAAAAGTATACTGAACAAAACAATATTTTAATTTAAAAGAAAAGTTTAAGAATTTGAGAAATGAAAAAAGAAAAAGGAGATTCAGAAGCCAAGCTGGAGGTTGACCTGTCCGCCGCTAATTTTAGAAACTTTACCACAATTTTGTTGGAATCTTTATCATTTATGCCACGTGGGCGCATCACGCAGCGAGTACCCAAAAAGGCCCAAACTGTTATCTGGCACTCTCACACGCGCCATATATGTAATCCCGTGGCGCTCTTCGTTCCACCCTTCGCTTTCACCCCATTCCGCTCAGAACTCACCGCCACTTCTCGAATATCGCAGGGAGTGCCATCGCCGGCCGGCGACCAACCGATCTCCAGTATTCGAAGCAAGGCATCGCCGGAAGCCGGAGGATCGAAGTGATTTTTGCGACGGCTCTTAGGTTTTCGCATCTGCCTGATCGGTGCTTTTGATGGCTTCGGAGGATGTGAAGACTGGCGAATCCGCGGTTTCTACGATTGTTAACCTGGCGGAGGAGGCCAAGCTCGCGAGAGAGGGCGTTAAGGCTCCTAGCTATCCCTTCCTTAGCATCGGCAAATCGCTCGTCGCCGGTGGAATTGCCGGTGGAGTGTGAGTTCTCTTTTTCGTTTCTTTTTGTTTTACTCCTTCCTTATTGTTTCTGTTGATGTTAGTTGTTTCGTTGATCTTTGGATTGATGAATAAGTACAGAAAAATGAGAGCAAATTGTAAGTAGTGACGAAATTGGAAACTGGAAATTGGATTTTCTAGGGACACCCTTGGAGCATGAAGCTATGTTGAAGCAAAAGGCAATTGACCTAGTCGGCCTTATAGCATTTCAAGTAGATTTAGGTTTTTTTTCCTTCTGTTGAACATTTTACTACTTGACGAGACACGTTTTAGTAGGAAGAGTTCATAAGCATATGGGGAATGGAGCACCGGCATTTCAGTGGCGAACTGAAGGAAATAAGGAGACTACAAGAAAGCTTCCAATTCACAAATATAAAATAGCATGGATAATAGGTTTAGGCATTCATTTAAAGAAAGCCAATTAGAGGTGTAACCAAATCTTGTAGCTTTTATTTTTTTTTCTATTGTGTGATCCCTTGCCCTCTAGGTGCTCTTCTTTCCCCTCGGTGTGGAAGGTCTAATTATTTGGTTGCTAGGTTTTGTTTGGGAGGGTGAACACCTTGCACTGTGTTGTGAGGCATTCTTCCTTCGTGGTGGGGCTGCAATGGTGCTGTCTCGGTAGATTTGCAGTTGTGGATATGGATCATCTCCTTCGGGGCTGTAAGTTTGCTCACTTAGATTGGGATAGCTTTTTGTAGGCATTTTTTGTTTGTTTGGCTAGGAGTAGAGAGTCAAGAGTGCAGGTCTATGATGGAGGAATCCTAGTCCATCCGTTACTCCACGATAAGGGCTGGATTTTGTGGCAAGTTGGCTTCTTTGCAGTCCTTTGGGGTCTTTGGTTAGAGAGGAACAACAAAATTTGGATTTGGAGAGACCTTGGGGGAAGGTTGGGTCATTGACTAGGTTTAATGCTTCTTCGTGGGTGCCAGTTTCTACGTGATGACTTAATTATTCATTAGGTATCATTATTCTGGATTGGAGTCCCTTTTTGTATAGCTAGTTTGTTGGCTTGGCTCCTTGGGTTAGGGCTCTTTTGAGCTCTTTTTTTGGGCACCTTTTAGCTTGTTCGTTTGTTTTCTTTCATTTTTCTCAATGAAAGCTTGGTTTCTCACTTAAAAAAACAAATGGCAAAGGGCACTGAAGCAGTCTAGATGTGATCATCCTTCTTAGACAAGAGAATGACCTACTTTGGCAATCTATGGACCACACAAACAAGAATTTAGCGTGCCCTTGAGTTTGTTGCAGTGGAACCTTTGAGGCAGTCCTTCAAGAGATGTAGTTGGGCAAGGAAGGGAGGTCAAAGAGATTTGTGATTTAGAGGAATCAAGCTAGCCATTTAGATCTTCTCGCACCTAAAATATCTACATATCCCTCTTCTTACCTCACATAAGTGTTATATACAGTTATTATTTAAATGTCTCATACATTGGGTTTACATAGGCTCAAAAATAGCAAAACAAAACATGCAAGTTCTTCCTCAAGATGTAGGAGCTTCATTCCTAGTTTCATTCATTGTAAATAGGTTGTGATCCCTCTTTATCATGCCACCTATTGCTCCCCTTATTTAGGCCTTCTTCGCCCATGAGTAGAATATACTGTTTTCTTATTATTTGATATTCTCTCTCACCTTAATGCATAGTGAAAGACGTTTCATAGCTAGCATGCTCAGCACCACACCGTGCTCTCTGTAGGGCCAACATATTCCTTTGAATTGCTAAACTCAATGATCTCCCTCACTTGCCCATGTCTATTCCATGGACTGCCAAAGTAGGTCATTCTCTTGCCAAAGTGATTATCTCATCCCAAGCAGGTCATCTCTTGTCAAAGAGTGATGATCTCATCCCAAGCATTGTGCGCCATCTGTTCGTTCATCTCCAGCATCATATTAGCAACAATGCCAAATTGATCCCTAATTTTATTGAAGTCTCTCATACTTCTCCCTATTTTTGTAGAAGATCTATCCCATGTCCACCTCACTCTATCCAAATCCTCACCCATAAATCAGCAACCATTGCAATGGCCATTCAGTACTTGCAACTACCTCTAAACTTATTTTCCATCCCTTGTATATTCTAGGCCATAAATTGTAGTCCTAGGAAACCATAGGTTGGAATCATGTACAAGGCCTATTCTAGTAAGTATTCAAAAGGTTCCATTTTCTAGGCTTTGCTTAATGGGACTACTCACTGTTCACAAGTCTCCCTAGGATTTGAATGAATCAAAAAGGCCCACCGAATGCCCTTCTGGATGCCAGATAGTTTCGATTGCGTTCCTAGTCACCTTTTTTAGTTTATATTCCTGTAGTAACCCAATATCAAGATTTATATCCCTCAAGGACTTCTTTTGCCTCTCTCTTGAAGGTAAAGATCCTCAAGCAGGTTAGATTATTTATGTGGTAGGTTTTACTTTGGAGAGTGAACACTTCGGATCGTATTAAGAGGCACTATTCCTTCGTGCTGTGCTAGCAGTGGTGCTCTTTGTGTAAACGGGCATCGGAGGATCTTGATCACTTCCTTTTTGGAGGTGTGAGCTTACTCAAGCTATCTGGCATCACCTTTTGGGATCTTTGGGGTCTGTTGAGTGCGGAACAGGGATTGTTGTGTTGAGTGCGGAACAGGGATTGTTGTGCTAGTTGGAGGGGGTTCTTTTGAATCTTCCCTCCCAAGCGATGGGCAAAGTCCTTTGACTGGCTTGTTTTTTCCCGTGGTGTGAGAGGAATGATAGACTTTTTAGAGGGATAGATAGGTTTTGAGAAGAGGTTTGAGGTATTATTAGGTTTAATACCTCTTTGTGGGCATCTGTTTCTTGGTCTTTTTGTAATTATTAGTTAGAGCTTATTCTTTTGGACTGGAGTCTGTTTTTGCTTGGTTAGAGATTCGACTCGTTTTGTGGGGCTCTTTTTTATGCCCCTAGTAGTATTATTAGGTTTAATACCTCTTTGTGGGTATATGTTTCTTGGCCTTTTTGTAATTATCAGTTAGGGTTTATTCTATTGGATTGGAGTCTGTTTTTTCTTAGTTAGAGATTCGACTCCTTTTGTGGGGCTCTTTTTTTATGCCCCTTGTATTCTTTCATTTCTTCATAATGAAAGCTTAGTTTCTATCAAATAAAATTGACAATCTTTATGAGATAGGCTTCACCTAACTGATGACTTAGTTTCATTTGAGGCATTTATACCTAACATAACAGGTCGTCTAWGAAAAACAACACTACATCATTTCCAAAACATGTGTGGTTAAAGTTACGCTCAACGTATTGCACTTTGGATGGAAGGTGGTAACTCTTTGTAGTTGGCAGAAAAAATAGAGAATGCAATTCTATGTCCTCACTTTTGGGTGTGTTAAACATAATAATTTGCAATGAGTGTGGGATTTCAAATATTCATTTTTTTTTAGTCTAAGTGTGTGGTTGTGCTTTAATAGCTTATCCTGCATGTATCCCCAGGCGCTGCTAGCCTTTATCTGTCATCCTTGGTGCACACTGAGTGCTAGCCTTTATCTGTCATCCTTGGTGCACACTGAGTGATTTGAGATGCAATGTTTCATAAACAGGCATGACTTAATTTCCTTAGAAGTCTTATATTCGACAAGCTAAGTATTGTATCATTTGAACTTAATTGGAATGAAATTTATATAACTTGGTGATACTTATCTTGCTGATCCATATTTTTATAACTATATCAAAATGTAAATTATATAAAAAGGCATTTCATCTTCTTATAGGTCACGAAGTGCTGTTGCTCCTTTAGAGAGGTTAAAAATACTACTACAGGTTAGTCAATACTATTAGTTATTTCTCATTTTGTTAGAGCTATTGTGCATTTTTTTGTATCTTCCATACACGTGCACAAGTTGTGCATGAAGTTTTCATCGAATTTATGATTCGTTAATTAGCTTTTTCAGTATGCAGGTTCAAAATCCTCATAACATTAAATACAATGGAACAATTCAAGGCTTAAAATACATCTGGAGAACTGAAGGTTTCCGTGGACTCTTCAAAGGCAATGGAACTAATTGTGCCCGTATTGTTCCTAACTCCGCAGTCAAGTTTTTCAGCTACGAGCAAGCTTCTCAGTATGCCCATTTTTTTCTCTCTTTTTTTTATAAGAATTCAAATCACTGTTGCAGTATTACTTGATATGTGATGTTTAGCTTTATGATGAAGCATTATGAGTCTGCTTTGTCATACCGCTTCTGAAATTCAAGTGTAAAAAACTCATCTTTTTGTTAATTTTATTCAGGGCTTAGCTTTTAGCCACAGTTTTGCCATTTTAGTTACATGGACTTTGTTAGGCCAAATCACGTCAATTTTTTACTGCTGCTTTTAATAATCACTAATTTTCAGTTTTTGTTTTGTTTTTGCAAAAGCTAAGGATGATATGTTTTTCACTTTTCAGTGTTTACTTGCTCACAATTTATTAGCAAATACATCTAATCAATATGGAAAATCAACAGGTTGTTGTACTTGTAAATCAGAATTCTGTAAAATGAAGTCATGTGCATCTTTGTGAATAATATAATGAGGTTTGCTAGACGTGACAGGTTAAAAATAAAATAATTTTACAGGCTTACAACAGCTTTCCGCTATGATCCAATTGAACTTTCTTGCGCGGATAATTTTGTCTGTAGTATCTTTGAATTAATGTGTCATTGAGATTTGAGTGTCTTTTCATGGTGTGAATTATATATCTACTATTACACAACGTTTCCATTTTCTAATCATTGTATGTGGAGTAATGGAGATATCTGGCTAATGTCATGCATTAGAATAATTGTTTCATTTGGTTTATCTTACCACGTTATTAATTTTACGATATTTGGTTTCGATGACTTATAATTAGCATAACCAATAGGTTTTATTTATAATTCTGAATTTTAATCAACTCTCCAAATGACGTTCTATATTTATGAATTTTATTTCTTTTCCTGCTGCTTATCTTTGTTTACCAACGTGACAGGGGGATATTATATATGTACAGGCAACGGACTGGCAATGGTATGCAGCATATTATTCATAACAGCAGATTTATTTGTTGACAGATGCCTCATGGATGCATTAGCCCATTTTTTTTAGATATAATTTTTGTGGTGTAAAGTTTACTATCTTGCTTGCAAATTCAATGATCTTTGTTTGTTATACAAATAACTACATAGATTTATGGATTTTTTTTTTCTTCTTTTTTGAAATTTCTGCAGAAGATGCTCAACTCACTCCTGTTTTACGTCTTGGAGCTGGAGCTTGTGCTGGAATAATCGCTATGTCTGCAACATATCCAATGGATATGGTACGGGGTAGACTAACTGTGCAGGTACACATTCTTGTCTCCTTGCATAAATTTTTTACACCTTATGATGATGGTCTTCATGTTCAATTGAGTGAAGGAAAGTAGGAAAATTATTAACTTTCCTGAGCTACATAAAGTGCGTTTTTGTACTTAGGATATGTATAAGAGTGATTTTGGCATGACTAGAATCATTTTTACTCACGCCAAAATCACTTTCATGTTAAAATAGAATGTTTGGCAATGATTCATAAGTGAGTGATTCCACATCAATCACTTGGAGGGTTATTCTCCAAGTGATTTTTGACCAAAAAATTAATAGAAAATTAGTTTTTAAATTGGTTATTGTTTTAATTTTTAAAATGGTCTTTCTTACCCCTTATTTTCACCTTAAATTTTGAGAATTTTTTTTTTCTTTCTAAATTGTTGTCACTATCTAACTTTATTTATCTTTAATTTTGTTTATTTTCTCTAATTTTTTTCTCTAAATTTTTTGTAATCTCTCTCTCAACTTTTAGTTCCCATCTATTTTCTAAGTTTATTTCTTCATCTAAAATTTTGTCTCTCACCTTCTAGAATTTCTCTCTCTAAAATTTGTGTTTCTCTATCACTTTTCTCTCTCTAAATTTTCTCAAATTTTTTCTTTAAACTTTAAATATTATTGATTAAAATCATTTTTAATTATATAAATTAAAAATTACTTGAAAAAGTGTATAACCAAGTGTGGAAATAATTATATAAAAATAACTTTAACAAAATCAATGGTCATTAAATCTCTACTAAAATCACTCATTCTAAAATCATTCCCAAAAAGGTGCTTAAACTTATTTCCAGAATCATTTTGAAACTTATTGCCAGAAGCATTTTATTTACACGAATTGCTGTTCATTTGATTTGTTCATTGTTAATTACAGACAGAGAAGTCTCCTTACCAGTACAGAGGTATGTTCCACGCACTTTCAACCGTGCTCCGGGAAGAAGGACCTCGTGCTTTGTACAAGGGGTGGCTTCCTTCTGTTATTGGAGTTGTAAGCTTATTCTTGCTTTTATTGGGGAATATTTCACCTTTTTCAGATAATTTGCTAAATCATTTATGCGTTTTAAATTCGGCTCATAAATATATAAGGATTGGAGTTTAATTACGGTTCATAAATATATAAGGATCGGAGTTTAATCACAGTTTCAATTTGTCTGTTCTTGTATGGATTTTATAACAAATCACTATTCTTAAAAAGAAGCAGTTGTTACGATTGGAAATCGATTTGGCGAACCTATTCTCAAAGTGAAATATTTAATCTCACCGACAGTAATTTGTGCTTCCAGATATGCCAGTATATGACATATTTGATCCTTTGCAGGTTCCGTATGTGGGTCTGAATTTCGCTGTTTACGAATCCCTGAAGGATTGGCTACTGAAGAAAAATCCATTTGGGATGGTTGAGGATTCGGAATTAAGCGTGACAACGCGACTAGCATGTGGGGCTGCTGCTGGCACTATTGGCCAAACAGTTGCTTACCCTCTTGATGTTATTCGTCGAAGGATGCAAATGGTGGGCTGGAACAATGCTGCTTCTGTTATCACTGGTGAAGGGAGGAGCAAGGCGCCTCTTGAATATACGGGCATGATCGATGCATTTAGAAAAACCGTGAGAAATGAGGGCTTCGGAGCTTTGTACAAGGGTTTAATACCCAATTCTGTAAAGGTAAGATTTATTCCTTCCTTTCTTGAACCGAATGTGTGAATACATTTAAGAACAAGCATGGGGCTTTAGATCAAGGGAATAATACGGCATGTTTATCGGATTCCACGTCGGTGTCGGTTATCTGGTGTCAAAATGAGTGAATAAGATCTTACTACATGGTTTCAGGTTGTTCCATCTATTGCAATTGCGTTTGTGACATACGAGATGGTGAAAGACGTGTTAGGAGTCGAGATCAGGATATCGGATTGAGACATACGACGAAACTCATAATATTTTTTGCACAAGGCAAAAGGCAGAGGATTGAGAGAGAAGTGATAAACTGAGGGTGGAGTGGGGAGTGGGTTGTTCCTTAGTTTTATTTCTTTGAAGAGTAGAAATTAGTTTTTGTTTTACCTATCCTTCTTCTAATCTTGTAAAATGCCGTTAGCTTGAAACTTATATTTAGATTCTGTGACAAATAAAATGCATAACATGAATTTAACGCCATTTCTGCAATGTTGTATGAATCTGTCTTTTCTAAATTTCTCTTTTAAGACTTCTGTATTTTATTGGGGTTCTCGTTTGGTAATGTTTCTGTTTTTGGTTTCTTGTTTTTTTAATTTTATTCATAAACTTAAAGCATTTTGCAACTAATTAAGTATTTTCAAAAGTCAATATTGTATAGAAATTTTAGAAACAATCAAAATACGTTTCTTGTTTCTTGTTTTCATTTCTAATTTGTTACAAAACATAAATATAAATATTGTTTCATCAATCTTGAATTCATGGGGTTGAGGCTATGTAATTCTATTTTTTTCACGTGCTTTGTCTTTTGATTATGCTAGCTTTGCATGATTATCCGTACACAAGGGAAAGGGCAAAGTTTATTCTCGATAACGAGATATATCACCTATTTTAATAATGTAAAGTAATTCTAAATAAAGAGAACTATTAGAAACACGATATTTTATGGCACTCGTTTTACAAACTTTGTATTTCCTTTACTGCACTTATTTAGTGCTTATTTTGTTGTACATATCTTATTTTATTATATTAGGGAAAAATCCATTGCTGATTAGGGTTTCCTGTTGGGGCAAATAGAATAATTTGGCGAAGATTAGGATCACTTCCTTTGACATCCATCACCAAATCAGTGCTGGGGTTTAAGATGGTTCCATCTTCTTTGGCTTCCCATCGCTGCCGAGCCAACCCTTCACATTTACTTAAAATGATAGCATCATTAGGGCTTTTGGCCCCACAAGTCATGCATAAGCTTGTGTTGAAGTTGGCTCTAATGCTGCCATCACCGTAAAATGCCCAATATTGTTGTCGATTGTTTTTCACACATTTGTTCAACCAAATATGGACGTTGTCGTTCTGAGCCTGCAGGCACATGCGACGGAGTCCTATGATAGGCGTCACAATTGGTGCCCCGTCATCTGCCGTATCCCAA